TCACGGGAAATAGACACGGCTAGGACACGAATTAATGATAAATTGATTCGGAATCACAAACGACACTGAATTACACGAAAGTATACGGATAAACACGATTTTAATAATGCAATAGCGAGGTAAACTAACCTAAGGAAGCCACGAGAGAAAGACAGAATATCTGCCGAAACCAGACAACGATATAATACTGGATAACTCAGAACCACGATAACTGCTGAATTACATAAGTAAAGACAGAAAAGCGGAACAAACGGGCCTGGGAACAGAGCGATTAATTTCGGACCGTTCGCCGTGACCTTGGCCCTGATGTGTGTGTAAGGGAAGCAAGCGATCTTTTTGATTTGGTCAGGAAAAAACGCACGCAAACACAAAAACGTAGGTGGTAGTGATGGGGCAAAGGCCATGAAGCACAAGGAAGCTTAAGGGCTATTGTCGGTTGCTTTTGCACAAAAACAGCGGGACGACAACGATTAACGGACTCAGCCTCGGCAAACTTCCGCATTTTCGGTAGATATTCGTAAAACTTGAGTCAAGGTCAACTTGATGACCTATGCTGATTATTTGTATAGCGATGGATGATGCCGACAGTTTGCCTGTTGCTCCTTTTCCGGTTGTGCCATCGGCCCAGCAATCTGCTTCAGAATATATCCCGCAATCCGCTTATTCAGGCAACGATTTGTTCTGCCAATGTAATTGCTTCCATAACTACAGACGAATTGGTAAATGCAATGCGTTGTAACGGTGACCGGTTGAGTATGTTTGATTTTAGGCATCGGTAGCTTTTTGGTTGTCCAGATCGGACAGAGTTAAGCAGCGTTGAATGTACGGCGAATAGCGGTGTTCACCCGTCGTTCAATTTGCGCTGTCACCACATTACCTTTGAAGTTTAGCTGTAAACAGACGGGCTTTTTGGGCACAGTACGTACTCTTGATTTGTTTTCCTTCGGGTGACTGTGAAATCTGATGAATACCTCTGGATTTCCATTGGCTCGTGATGTCTGTGTGATGAACAATGATGGAACAATATGGATAGCTGTCTACGTAGACGAAACGTGTCCGCAGGTGACATTATTGGAAAGTTTCTCGCTGCATCTACTAAGATCGATCGGCATTCATGAGAGGGAAACACTTTCGACATCGTCGGGGTGTCTCTTAGTTAAGGGCAGGATTTACAATGTATCCGTTCCAGCTGTGTTACTGTATGGAAGGGAATCGTGGCCAATTCCCGTGGACGACTTGCTCTGGCTTTCGGCCTTCGACACTCGGTGTTTGCATAGAAATGCTCGTATGTGGTGACTATCGTTTGTCTGCAGCAATGTAATTAAAATTCGTGCTTTGAGGGATACGAGTATTCCTTTCAACCTTTCCTTAACCGGTAGTTGAATAGATAAGGCGTTCGCCTTGCAACACAGGTCACCAGTCCAAATCTGTGTAGGTGCCGGTCACCTTGCCGCATACCCAGCCCACGCTCGACCGGTGGTGGTCGTATGGCAGCGAAGCGTCGATGCGGCGCCCCGACGTACTGATAATGCTTTACTTTGTCCATTTTTCAAGTAAAATAAGTCAGTATGTGATCAAGACATACGTATTTCGTTAATGGCAAACTATGCTAACCCGTGCCGTTAGGACCATATGCGTGTTTCGTAATCTGAGGTCTCGGATTTGAGCTTACGTGTAAGGGACCGCGACTAGTAGTTGCGCCTCAGAGAAGCATCGGTGCTGCGTGTCGGCGTACTGCTTTTGATGTCCTTTCTATAGCAAAGCATTCCGTTTCTCTTAAAATCTATCTGGGAACTGCCACGTATGCTCCGGCGTTGTCAGTTTCAACCCAAACTGCTTTGGTTTTGGCCCTGACAACCTCAGAAACGAACAGAAACCCTGCCACGAACAGCTTTTACCCGCCTATATCTGCTCTCACGGGACTAAAATCCGAGAATCTCACTTACTTCGTTTCGCGCGATGAGAATTAACAAACTCTGCCTTTCAGCACTTTTTTGGCCAAAGCAATAAGCGCAATGAACGGTTCAATACGCCCTTGCTTATGCAAACCCTTCCGCTGTCTTGTTACTTGATCCGACGAAAAATGAGCGGGTCCTATCTTTGTCCACAATGTATCCCCAATCAAAGATAAACGCAGCTATTACTATAGAAGAGGTACATATGTTTTGCGATCAAGTAAAGCTGTAAGGGACTACTACCATGATCCGAAAAGAAACAAGTCGTTGGCCAATTGGAATCTCTTACAAAATGTTTGTGCAGAGTTATTGATTTCAACGAAAAGCGTGCTCCTCTTTGAAGAACATAAGAAAACCAAACAACACAGTTCTTGAAGATACAGGTTCTTGTTTTGATTGCTCCACATGCTCATGAATGATGACATTTTACCAAGTGCTAACCGGAAGCATCACAGCGCTTCCTGCAGGACGCCGTGCTCTATTTGTCCCGGACTCAGTTGCGGTCAGACCAACCTAGTCTGTGACGAAAGCAGCAATGTTGTTTGCGCAGAGCGCACCAAACGTTTGTGCAACCGCGCATTTTTACCTACTACACAGTGGAATATGTGAAAACGCATAACTCCCTGTCATCCAATGTTCTTTGGGTAGAAACAAGTGATTGAAACAGATTGATTTTCTGTGGCATGTTTTTTACGATGGTTTCCAACTAACTACATGGCACCAAGGATGTGCTTTCTCCACGACACCAGATCAGCGCTAGCTAATGTGAACGATTCAAACTTGTTAGGGCTACCGTGTAACACCAGACGGTTTCTTTCTTTACACCAACTGGCAAACTTCACTATTGCTTATCCCATGAGCCCAGAAACTTTTGGCACTACTCCGCAAACATTAGGGATGAAAGGCGATCAATATCGCACAGTGAAATGAAAACATTATAGTGTTGCTCACCCCAACACTGGCACCCCAAGACCGCGGTTTCGTCCTGGTTGGGACTCATCAGTTGGAGATAGCCTGAGTTGGGCTGGAACTCAGAGCCTAGTGGCTCATGGTTGACGCCATAAGCACTATACCACTGAGATCCGCGAGCAACGCTTGGGCCAGCGGGAACGAATTCAAAATTGGACTTGGAGGCTCCGCTGAATGTCACACGGTGTTCTCAGTGGTCAAGTTTCGACTCAAGTAATTGCAGTGGCCCTACCGCAGCATCTTACTCCCTACCGTTCACTGGCAGGCTGATATCCCACCGTCTCTATACAGGTTTGAGACTTTGAAGAGTCATACAGTCTTTGAAGATTGTTGCGGACCCGTCAAAAATCCCCGCAAAAACGCGCCAGAAACCCCGGCAGAATGGCTGTGAGAAGCGGGGTCCAATTCCTCCCCACAACGTAGCAGTGATTAGCCACTCCGAGACGCGGCCCAACTACGCACCTTTTGACAATGACCTTTTAAAACTACCACCTCGTCATGGTAGAAATTTTCCCTTACTTAATGACCCATAGCACTGGCTGTGATTCGCCCTTTGTTGGTCGTAAAAGTGCCTACGGAGGACCGCCTATCTTTCTTTCCTCTTCGCCTTACTTGGGAGTCGGTCGGGTCACGTGATTTTGTGTGCGTCGTTAGCTGGCCAGCCTTCACGTCTAAGTCATTAGCGCGCGTCTATCGTAACCCCCTCTCGTGTGCGTCCGTTCGGAGGGCTCAGCGTCTATCCGAACACGTGCGGCTGGAATCGTTCACACGCTCGCTCAATTTCCGTCTCACCGGCTAAGCTAACGTCATCAGGTCAGCGCAACTCCGTTCGATTGGCCAGCGTTACAAGCCGTTATCGTAGGCGTGCTCCAACCGTGCCAGCGACAATCTTATCAGGCAATTACGCAATCATAACAGAGGCGGCGTTCCCTCAATTATAACATTGATGTCTTGTTAACCTTCTCAGCGATGTGACCACCAGAAGTTGTCAAGCAACCAAGGTAGGTGAACGGATCGGTCAATCTCAGTAGCTGTTCGGTTGGGTGTCCCTCTAGCTGTGCAACATCAGCTCCTATTTTCTAGGTGCGAAGAATAACTGCTGATCGTCTTTTTGACTTTCTCAAGATTTTCTGTTTCGTAACGCTGTGCATCATACGTTGTCATGCTTTCTTTTCTGCTTCGATTGTCCTTGAATTGATCTGATTACCACCCTTTATCATCTGTTTATGGATTTCGACACAGCAGTGCATCTTTGCTGGTTCCCATAATAATCTTCCCTCTCACACCGACTCGACTTTTAGTTGTTGTGTCTCGTTTTCTGGCTGTTCACTCTATCCTGTCGGTCAAGCATTTAACCACTCTATGTGCCACTGTTCCCAAATAAACTTTTCCGAACTTCTTACCCCTGAGTGATATATGACCTAGTGGCATCAATTCTAGGCAACACACTTAATGCCTCTTGAAAATGAATTAAGATGTTTACTTCTTATGTGGCTAAAATATCAGAGAAAGCCCTTAGTGAAACCGAGAAGTCATAGGAAATAAATGGCTAATTAACCAACGCAGCTCAGGGTTTGCAGCTCCGAGTCTCGTTTTTTGACGCACTTTCGCGATTTTCGTTCTTCGTCCCTACATTATATCCCTGAGAACCGAACGGAGTCAGTGCAGTTGTGTCTATTCCGTGAAAGCACCTATTTTGCAAACATCAGCGTGGTACTCTGTCACACGCACTCTGCAATTTTGGGCTTGAGACCTCGATTGTGTGTTTCCTTCGCAACCGGTTGATTGACAAATTTTTCCTCAACGCTGTTGTGTTATCCAACCTTTACTTCCTGGAAGGATCCGCACAAACCCGTGATTTTCAATCCACGTGGCATATCCACGATATCTTGGGGTGGGGGCGTTGGTTGACGCTGTCAGTTTGCTGTTTTAATTGAGACTTGATGCACAGTGTGGGGTTATTGCTGTTTCCTTTGACAAACTCGGTTGTACAGTTTGCACTGTCGTATCTATGTTGCCTACGTGAAATGTTCTCCGATCATCCACTAACTCTCCTCCATCCGCTTACTCTTCCAGCTTCGTTGGTGTTTATGATATGGTCCCTCGGCGTATTCAAACACCGCGCTTGCATTGAGGTTAGCTTAAAATCCCATTCCATTTTTTCTTCACAGAATCTCAGAAGTTGTATCTATTTTAAGCGATTCACCGGTCGCATATCTTCGACGTGACACGATTTTCTTCGCCTAATATTTTCCATACATACATTGTCATACTACTGGTCTGCATACATCCGAGAGGCTGGCTATGGGTGCTTCGGACCCGTTTGCTTGGCACATTTCTCTCCGGACCATGCCACTATCCTCCTCTCGTTTTGCCTTGTGAGTACATAGAATACTGATAAATCCTGGCTCTAGGGCCAACCACTGCCCTCTGCACTGTTCTGAATACTGTATTATAGAGCAAGTAGAAATGAGTTCTGTACAACTCTTTCGAAATATGGTGAAAATCGCAATAACATTGTCAGCCGTGAACGCCGGTATCGTTCTCATGTAATATGTAAAATATCTGACACGGTATTGCAGGACTCACAAATGTTACATGTCATCGTAAGTGTGCGATCGTTCTCTGAATCGAATAGTGGTAAAATATACATCTAACAACGTTTTAAGCTGCTGCAAAGATGTTGCCATCATCACATGTTCAGGCAAACTGTTCCAAATGTTTACCACTCCGTTCGAAGCACAGTGGATGGGGAACTCGCATCACATTCGGCACGACAAGTTTGTATCTGTGTCCGCGTGTGCTGCATGACTCTCGTAAGTGCAGCATTGGCTTCAGCATGGGAAGTCACCGTGATGTCGAATACGGTAGGTCATAGTGAGATCGACTCGCACTTGATGGTAGGACAAGGTGTAGAGTCCTAGTTTCTCGCATCGGTCTTCATACCCCAAGCCACGTAAACTCAGGATAAGCCTGGTAGCAAGCTGTTGGACCCGTTCGATCTTTTGTGCCTCGCCTCGGGTAATCGGAAAGTAGACGGGCAAACCGTACTCTAGCATTGGTCTAATGATGGAAGAGAACAGGCGAGTGGCCACCTCTTCAGACCATATGCCGAAGCTACGTTTGAACGCCCAAAGCATGCGCAGTCCGTTACGATATTGCCTGTTCGTGTTGTCCACGGACTTCAAATCGTAGCGTGAGAGTACACCTAGGTCCTTCACGGAGGGTGTGGGATATAGCGTTTGGCCGTCAAGGGTGTAGGTTCGGTCGTTAGCACCCTTCCCCAGGCTTGGCTGGGTTGACCGGGAGAAGAACTTCTGCAGACCATGTGGATAGGCGGTTGAGGTCTTGCTGAAGTAGGCCACAGTCATCGGGAGCGTCGATTTCTCTCCAAATCTTCATTTCGTCCGCAAACAAGGCACACGGCGACCGGAGAAGCTGCGGTAGATCGTTGATGTGAATCAGGAACAGAGTGGGCCCCAGCACAGTGCCTTGAGGTACGCCACTTGTAGAGGGATACCAGTCATTTAGACGTCATCGATATGTACCCTCTACTTTCATCCAAAAGAAAGTCTCGGATCCACTGGTGCAGTGAGCTACCGACACCACACATGCTGAGTTTATGAAGGAAAATCTCATGGCTGATCTTGTCGAACGCTTTACTGAAATGGATGAATATCACTTCGATAGACTTCCCCTTGCTTATTGCAGTAGCGGATGAGCCGCGCTATATGATAGACAATTGTCAGTCATGCAGATCCTCCCCGTAAACCATGGCTTAGTAGCACAAGCTGCTAGCATCCGGAAATCATGGGTTTGAAACGCGGTAGGGGACTGAGGAACGCGCACCACTGCCGACACATAGAAAGTCGAGACACCTGTCTAGTACTTTTTCACACGTGTATGAACCTGCCTGATTGAGAGGGAACTGCGACGAACTACGTCTAAAACTCGGTTTCTGTCAATATGTGGAACCACGAATACTGTTATTTCGGCTTCTGGAAAGGCAGTCACCCTGCACTTTCGTGTAATTCATCTTTATCTTTTTCACGCTAGCCACGACACACTGGGTTAGAGTGTACATGGGGTCGGTTCGCCACAAGACTGTCCTCAATTGTTCCTGTTGAAAGCGATTAACTATTGGCGAATCCAGTAACTGATAATTACCATTTAAGTACTAAGAACAAGAGACCAAAGGTAGGTTATTGTTTTTGATGATTCATCGTCAGACTCATACACACATTGGGCCTAACAGTTGCTCTGATCTGTTCAAATGAAATTAGATCACGTGGTGACCTGGGGGGATAAACCAATTACAAACGGAAACGATTAGCGCCAAAGGTGGTGTTGAACGATTGCAGCTGGCCTCAGAATCATCTGTTTTATCTGCCCAGTGCAGCTTAACATGTTCGATCAGTTGGTACTGTGACTCAGTTACTCGAATTATATTGACAGCCCACTATTTTAACCGTCTGTCAATCACCCCCTGCGGATCACACCAGTACAGCTTGCCAACTTCGAACCGCCATACTACTGTTTTGGCCCCTTTTCACTCACACGCTCCTGGCATCTTTCTTCACACACACACACACACACACACACACACACACACACACACACACACACACACACACACACACACGCTCCGCTTTGTGTTCGGTGATCTTGCAGTTAGTCGCTGACGTGTTGGTATGTGCAGATCAGTCTGAAGATCTGTCGGGAACTGGACTAACTAGTCCAAATGAATCTTTTATTTATTTATCTTTCATCCAAGCATATGGTGCATTGACCTACAGAACGTTACCATTCTTACAAACAGCCCATCACAGTAGCCTTTCCTGATTTCTTAACGCCTACTTTTACTTCGGTTGGTTCCATCTGCTCGTGACCGTGTTTATCTTCCATAAGTGTAGCTGAGAAATTCTTCCCTGTCCTAAAATCTCCATACCACGAATCCCGATGGCGTTGTAAGGTCTAGGTTACTCACTCCCTAGAATGTAGGAACTGGACTGCCGATGGGTTCAGGAATAGTACCTCGTTCGTACATTCCCCTCCATATCTTTGAGGCTTCCGCAAAAGTAACCAGATGACAGAAAGCGACTACGAAGGAGGCTTCGCTAATGGCGGTACGTGTTAGCAAGCAGAGTTCAAAGTTAATGCATTAATTGTTGGTTTGCAGATGTCCATTTGAATGTTACGATTGGTGCAGCTGGTTAGAACTATCAGATGAGTTGCTGCTCAGTGAGCTTCTAAGTTCTCCGAATTTTTGCCTATTTATATGCGTATGCGATGAGAGTGTTGCCATAAGGGTTACCTGGTTTCTGTATTTCTTTTCAACTTTGTGATCTAAATGATTATGAATGACTCTCTCCTAACCTCTGTCTCTTCTCCTGTGGTCTGCATTCCGCTAGCCAGCCAACTGTCAATTTTAGTATAGGTGTGTAGCATAGCTCATCTTGCATTAGACCGAGCTATCAATTAGACATTATTTGATAGACTGACACATAGCGACTCAGGCTTCGGCATGTGCTTTTCACTTTCAAATAGCAAAGGGCTCCTGCGAGACTAGTTCAACTTACTATCTCCATGAAACCACTCAAGGCTGTCGGTCGATTTACTTATTCGGATAGCTGTATCATCTAGCGGATATAACGCCGCCCATTGCTGAATCTTGCACAGCCGTCCAAAAGTTCATTCGCTTTTGGACGCTGTAAGAGCAGGGCATTGTTTTCTCGAATTCCTATCGGTCTCTATTCTTTTAATCCTTTCCAATTGACACAGTGAGTTGTATCCTAATTACGAGGCAGCGTTAGAGACTTCTATTTTTGCCATTACCACTTACTTGCTGCTAGCGAAGATTGGTATCCAGCAATTGACAACAACGCAATTGCACTCACGACACCATTAAGATCCCAGTGCCCGTGGCCTACCTTGTAATCCAAGGGCGCTGGTTCTACACCCGACTGGTGGTGGTTGCGTGGTAACGACTCGTCGATTCTGCGTACTGGTGTATTGTTGATGCTTTCTTTCTACTCCTATACAAATCCAAACTGCGGTGACCTTTTTACTTCAAAACAGCAGACGCCTTGTCCTTTCGGCCACTGTTCAATCGTAATTGTCAACGAAGCACTTTCGTTCGAAAACCTATCAAGCCTGCTTTTATTACAAATACCGTTTTGGACATGCGCCAAACTAGCTGTTGTTAGGGTGCTGGCATAACTCCACCGAATTTACGCAAATTTCACCGAGCTCACCTTATGACATCCAATCACCACACAACGGCTCAGACGAGCTATTCCCAGGCCAAACGACAAAGAACCAACAGAGCTTTACCCGGGACACCAATAAATTGTTGTGTACGCGGAACTCCTCTCCTCATTACGCTATTGTCTCTGTTGTGTTATGTCGCAGTGAACCACCTGAGCTCCGCAATTGCTAGGGAATTTACCGCACAAACTCATGCTGACACACTGACTGAGATTCCCTCAGGGCACCATCACTAATCGACAACTCATGTGCTTTGGCAACATCCACCTTTCTCTATACTTTATGCTATTCTGTTAAGCTATAAAAACGAATGGGTAGTGGATATGCTTCGCCTTGGCTCAATCCGTAGAAGAACGCTTATTAACGGCCAGCCTTGTTTTCTCCTTCCGGCCTCAGTGCTAGGTTTCGCCTATTTGTTTCCAGTCTTAGCTCGCCTTTACATCTGGCGCTTAGATCTCGTTACCCTGCGACACGTAACGAACCCGATTGGCGACTCTGCACACTTGGGGTACAATCTGTGAAGTACGTTCGTCCGTTCCGAACAACAGTCGGAACAAATTGAATGCGTTAAAACAGTTTTGTCTCACTTTATCTACCGTCATTTATGTGGCAACTCTATCGGCAGCAGCTTGGTGTTTATTCATCCAAAGCAAAACAGTCCAGACTCCCACCATTTTTGAGGGTAACGTCACACATAATTGATGCAGGCTACATCGTGTTGCGTCTTCATTTGTTAGTTTGAACTGCTACACTGAGGACATTGCTGAGTAATGGATAACTACTAAACCTTCAACTTTTCGCAGTACCTTGTCCATTTTGTCTACTGGCTGTCTTTCCTCCCAAGATTTGATCCATAATTTGGTCCTAG